GAATAGCTTTCATCCATTGACAACTGCGAAGTGGTCTCAGGATAGATAATTGGGTCTGCGAAGCTCTACGAGCTTCGAGACAGTTCATTGAGGTTTTCGGCGAATTGCGGTGATCCTCAATCACCCTCCGGAAACGCGGTTCCTCCCCTGCCCACACTCACGAGGAGGCTGCGAGCACAGGAGATGGTTCGTGTTGTCAGTGGTAGTCGCTTGTAATTTGTCAAAAACAAGAAATTTGTGACATCTGGGCACGCACCGAAATTCTTCAAAGTGTTTCTGGACATCCATCCTAATACCCGTTGTTTGCAGACCAACTTCATTGCCCCATTTTCTCCATGGATAGACCCACCACACCCGCAGAATTTACTAGCAACCCAGCACACAACAAATGAAACACAGAAATACCACACTGTCAAGAGATCCATCTTCTTGACTGGAACGCTGGATTCATCCCACCGTTCAAATCGGGTCGTTGTTGACAACTAGTGGTACTGTACAAGTCAGGCAAGCAGGAGCCCTTCTGTTGGTCGCTCTGCTTTGTCCAGTGGTGCCCTCCGTCGTGAACGTTGTCGTCAATAATGACGACTCGCGAGACAGCTGGATGCGGAAATGGCCATTGACCGCATAATGTCACAATACACTCATGAAGCATGTCAATCCAAGGTGTGTAATAGAGGAGAAGCATGCCATCTTGTTCAGACTTTCTAATTACTTGGTGCTAACCATTCTGAAAACTGACTACATCATTCTTTACTGCCTAATACTTAGTATAGACCTATCATACTAGCAGGTATAGGCCTAGTCGTCGTCCAGAGCAGAACGCCGCCTTCGTATCTGTGGGAGCAGCCACAATATTGGAGAAAGAGGGGGACGGAAAAAATAGTTCACAAATTAAAAAAATGTGGAAATTGGAGAGCATGATGTTTTGACTAATAGGTAACACTTACCGTGACTTTGGTACGTTGTTGTGTTTGCTCATTGATTTGCTCCAAGAGAGTAATCAGGCGAGACTCTGTCACCTGAAGGTCATGCAAACATACACACACACGCATGCACGCACCGGACACACACAGACATACAATAACACATGGTACAGTGCATGTGTGATCTTGACAAGGTTAGAGCATGATGCAGGTATATGCATTGTGTCGGACAAGATAAAGGGCAGGCTTTGGACATAACGGCTGTCTTCAGAATTAGAGGAAGCTGGGAGCAACAGGGATGAGGGCAGGAAAGGGGAGGCAGTGAGGGTTTTGGGTTCAAAGCAAGAAAGGGGAGAAGGGCAAGCAGGGAGGAGATAAATAGGTTCAGAGGGACCAGGTAAGAAGAGGGAATGAGGAGGGTAAGGAATGGGGGCAAAGAATAGAGCTGCCCTTACAATCACGCCCACCTTCTTCACAGACCATCCTCCATCTAATCCTCTTACACCCATACTCTCCACTGCCACACCACCCTTACTCTCACACACCTTCAATCAGCTTTCGTACCGTTATCCTCACTGCCAGCTGCCCTGTCTGCATGCACCCGTTGTGTTATCCTGTCCCCTACTGCTGTTTGCCTTTCTTTATCACATCATTCTCCTTCAGTCACGCTCATATCAGACACGTCACAATCACACTCACTTCTCTTGCCGGCTGCCCTGTTTGTGCCCCTCTTTATATCCTCCACGAACATATGCCTTTCATCATAGTAAACATTCACTAATATCACACCTACCCACTACTGACACATTCAGTTCAGTCATCCACCCTCTCCGCCAACTGCCGTATATGCAGCCCTCAAACGATTGGTGTGTGCCCTTCATTACAAAAGCGTTCAAAACAGCCACACTTACTACAGTCACACTCACCCTCTCCGCCAACTGGCCTGTCTGCGCCCCTCGGATGATCAAATCCTCCACCGCCCGCGCCTTCTCGGGCTTCACCAGGGCGATGCGCGCCACTGCATGGGTGGGTTTGATGGAGTGGAGGGGGGGGATAGGGGTGAGTCAGAAAGGACGGGCAAGGAGGGCTGCACTGCACGTGCCTTCTCAGGCTTCACCAGGGGCGATGCGCGCCACTGCATGGTTGGGCGGGGGAGAGGGGGCAGAGGGGGAGAGGGGGGGCAGAGAGGGGAGAGAGGGGCAGAGGGGGGGGAGAGCGGGCAGAACCAGTGCAGCAGGGGGAATGGGGAAACGGCTGGGGGGGAAACGCTGCAGGGGGGGTGGGGGAACCAATGCAGCAGGGGGGACGGAGAGGGATAGGATAGGGAGTGCTTGTGAAAGAGAAAGGTGGGGTTCGACTCAATACCTGCTGCATCCCCCACCACGCCTGCAGCATTTGCTTCCCCGCCCCATACCTGCATTTTTGGAGACTTTTGAGTCGACTCAAAAGTCGCTTCCCCGCCCCATACCTGCATTTTTGGATTCAGCCTCTCTGCTTCATGCTTCCACCCTCATCCTCTATTCGCATGATTCCACCCTCACCCTCTATTCTCATGCTTCGACCCTCATCCTCTATTCTCATGCTTCCTCTTAAATATAAACATTTCGCTCTGTTCTCTTCCCTATATACCACCTGTCACACTCCCATCTGCCACTCTCCTGTCTGCCACAGTCTCCTCTGATACGTGGTCATTGGTCACTCCTGCTTCAGTCACTTCCGCATCTGTCACTCTTGCTGCTTCGGTCACATTCGCTTCTGTCACATTCCACTCAACAGACTCACATCGTTCCCTGGCACTCGAGTCCATCAGCTGAGCCAGCATCATCCGTCTCCTTTGTTACGCATCCTACAGTCTGCCTCATCCGCATTTGTCACACTCGACGTTGTCACATTCGCTTCTGTCAAACCACACTACACAAACTCACATCGCTCTCTGGCACTCGAGTCCATTAGCTGGGCCAGCATCATCTGTCTCCTCTCCTCAGCTTCCCTGCAACCACAACAAAGAGAACCAGTCAGACGCAAACAACAAGGTTTCATTCAGTCAGAACCAAATAAATGAAAGAGGCGAAGCGCTCGCGAATCCATGATACTGCTTACTTTCTTCAACTCATCCATAATCCATGTAACTCGTCCTACTTACTGTTTCTTTGACTCATCCTGCTGACCAGCGGCGGCAGACGGCATCCCTGCTCCAGCTCCCCTCCCTGCCTGAAAAGACGCAACACCATTCCCACACAAAAAGCATAGAAATATTCCTGGATCTGCAAACTTGGAGAAGAGCTACTTATTGCGCGGACTATAAGTCCAGCGGCATGCTTTTACCAGCTCCGGGTCCCTCACTGACGCTAATGAACATTACATGAGTTCATGTGCAGATTATGCAGACTAGCTCTGTGAAAATCAGGTCTTTCTCCGGCTTCACCTCCCTCCCTGATGCAATTTTTTCATGCAAATGACATGTGTTTCCGTGCAGACAGTGCAAAGTCCGCAAGCACGCACCTGTGCGCCCTGGGCCGCCATTATTTCCCGCATTCGCCTCTGGCGAATAGCTTCGAGCTCTGGATCCTGAAAATGCAACAATTCGATTCCAAGGGACGGACGACAGAAGGGAACGTAAGAATGTCATGTAATTTATTAACAAAGACCGTGGATTTCTGGAGGATATTTTGAGACGACAGCCAGCGTCAACATAGGAGCTCTAGATGAGGTTGCTCAGATGCTAACGAATCTAGAATTAGAGCAATCCGTAACGTCGCATGGTGACAATATAGAAAAGCTTACTGCAAGATTAGTTTGGAACTTAACAAACGAGCAACTAATAGATTGGAAAAGGAGTCTGACCGCAACGTGGTAGTGAAGTAGTTGAAACTATACTTACATCCATGGATGCAGGAAAACTAGGTGTAGTAATAGATGGTAATGCAGGCCCGTACTACGTGTTCGCCAGGCTGGCAGTAACTGGATTCTGAAACTACAGTACTCGAAATAAGGAGGAATGCCGATATGCCGAGGGTACGGAATATTGAATGGCGCACGCAGTGGGCAAGGAAGGGAGAATGGCGGAGGTGGAGGTGGAATGGTGGGGGTGGAGGAAATAGCGCGGGGGATAAGTTGGGGGAATCTGTTGCGCCGCATTAGGAGGGGAAAGACACGGGGACCGGGGGAGCGGAGTCAGCAGCAGCCTTGCGCCCGGCTTGTTGTGACCTCGAATAAAAAATTGCGGGAACATTTTGGCGGGAAAACCTGTCAGTGCTATCAAAGGTTTTACGGTATTTCGACATTTCCAGATACCTCGTCGCCATGCGCAAATTTGCGAAATCGTGGACATCGTGTTGAGTTGTCGACCGCGCAACCTTGGTGTGTCGTGGCTGTCGCCCAGCCCAGCCCAGCCGTCGTCGAGTGTCTTCCATGCCTTTCCTTAACCAATTGCGACCCCGCACGACGCGTCGCCTCTTCCATTTGGGTCAGCCAAAACTCATTTTCTACCCGTAAAAATCTCCTATCTGCTGACCCTGGCTGGGGAAAAAAGGTTATTTTGGAATTGGGCAGGTAACCAGCAGTCACAGAAAGGTGTTGAGGTTCGCACAAGACGTGGAGAGCCAGCAGCCAGCCACGAGGTGCACCACCCCTCCCACCAAGACTCCGCTGGGAACCACGACCTTCGGGGATGCGATCACTCACCTTTGAGAGATGCCTCGGGAACTCGCAAGTCGTCGTATTCTTCCATTGGTATTAGTACGCTGAGAGATCGCCTGCTTCATTTCCACCATTGTAGATAACGATTCGGCGGGCTTGTACGTTTCTCAGAGTATTGAAAGGCTATTGCTTTCATAAGCTTTCGTCGGTTCGGTCTGCTCGTGACCACTCTTTTCGCGTATATTCCGACTCGCTCGATACTCTTCTAGCTAGTACCTTCACTTCGCTCCGTCTCACCTCGTTAACCGTAGACCGTCACGTTCATCGCTTCGCTTCTCGCGATCACTTTGTCTCTCGTCATTCCCGACTCCTCGTCTCGCCACTCCAATCCCGTACAAACCACTTACACCGTCAATCCTATCGCGTCGCGTTCTCGTCATGGCTCCGTCCGTCCCTGAAATCGCGGAAACTGCTCAACACCCGCCGAACATCGAGGTCACGAACCTCCAGTTCACGTATCCCGGAATCGACGGTCATCCGCCGCCCGGCGCCAAGCCGCTGATCGACGGCTTCTCCCTCACGCTGCACCCAGGCGATCGCTGCCTCCTCGTCGGCGCGAACGGAGCAGGTATGTGAAGTGAATATCTGATAAGTAAACTCAGGGTGTGACGGCTTCTCCCTCACGCTGCACCCAGGCGATCGCTGCCTCCTCGTCGGCGCGAACGGAGCAGGTATGTGAAGTGAATATCTGATAAGTAAACTCAGGGTGTGACGGCTTCTCCCTCACGCTGCACCCCGGCGATCGCTGCCTCCTCGTCGGCGCGAACGGAGCAGGTATGTGAAGTGAATATCTGATAAGTAAACTCAGGGTGTGACGGCTTCTCCCTCACGCTGCACCCCGGCGATCGCTGCCTCCTCGTCGGCGCGAGCGGAGCAGGTATGTGTGTTTTTAATATACTATGGGTCAGGCTAGAGTGTTGGCTTCTCCCTCACGCTGCACCCCGGCGATCGCTGCCTCCTTGTCAATCCGTCAATGGTTCACGTGCTTACTTGTTGATTCTCCCTATCACATCCCAACTTTCTTCAGGCAAAACCACCATTCTCAAGATCCTGGGCGGCAAGCACATGGTCGATCCGTCAATGGTTCGGGTGCTCGGCCGCTCTGCCTTCCACGATACCGGGCTCGAGGCGTCTGGCGCTCTCACGTACCTGGGCGGCGAGGTCAGTACCTATGCTTTCCCATTACTTCCTTGTGTGAAAGTCCAGGAACTCTTGCCCACTCAGCCTTCCACGATACCGGGCTCGAGGCGTCTGGCGCTCTCACGTACCTGGGCGGCGAGGTCAGTACCTATGCTTTCCCATTACTTCCTTGTGTGAAAGTCCAGGAACTCTTGCCCACTCAGCCTTCCACGATACCGGGCTCGAGGCGTCTGGCGCTCTCACGTACCTGGGCGGCGAGGTCAGTACCTATGCTTTCCCATTACTTCCTTGTGTGAAAGTCCAGGAACTCTTGCCCACTCAGCCTTCCACGATACCGGGCTAGAGGCGTCTGGCGCTCTCACGTACCTGGGCGGCGAGGTCAGTACCCCTGCCGTGCCTCCACTCTCCCATTTAGAAGTATAATTTGCTTCATAGGCTTCCATTTCGGACGATTTCTCTCTCTCCTCTTCTTCCCACTACCCATGCCTTTTTGCAGTGGCGCAGGGATGTAGCCTTTGCAGGCTTCGATGTGCCGCTACAGATGGACATATCGGCCAGGAAGATGCTCTTCGGCGCTGCTGCAGACGCTGCCAGGAGGGACAAGCTGATCAAGGTGTTGGATATCGACCTGGAGTGGCGGATGCACAAGGTTTCGGATGGTCAAAGGAGACGCGTTCAGATCGCAATGGGATTGCTGAAGCCCTTCAAGGTGTGTAACGGTGTGTCAAGAGAGGGAGAGGCTGATCGAGGTGCTGGATTTTGACTTGGAGTGGCGGGTGCATAAGGTGTCGGACGGGCAGAGGAGGCGCGTTCAGATCGCAATGGGATTGCTGAAGCCCTTCAAGGTGTGCTTTGGTCTTGTGGTAGCAGGCAGGGGGGGGGGCTTTGGTTGCAGAAGATGCTGCAAGGAGGGTCCGGCTGATCAAAGGGTTGGATATTGACCTGGAGTGGCGGATGCACAAAGTATCAGATGGACAGAGGAGGCGTGTGTGTGGGTGATTGAAGCTCGTTTAAAGTGTGTGGGGGTGTGGGATAGTTCAAGGTGAGAGGAGACAGCGCCTGATCAAGGTGTAGGATTTTGACCTGAAGTGGCGGATGCATGAGGTGTCAGACGGGCAGAGGAGGCGCGTTCAAAACGCCATGGGGCTGTTGAAACCATTCAAGGTGTGTGGGGGTGTGTGAGGACTCGCGGATGAAATTACGGGGGAACGGGATATTTGTTAGAGTTCTCATAAGTACCCTGCAACGTCAGGGATCTGAACGTGGGGTCGAGCTGATGCATTGGTTTCCCTCTTTCCCGGCTTCCCCTTTTCCTCTGCCCCTCCTTCCACCCAACCATGCAGGTTCTTCTCTTGGACGTGCTGGGTCGAGCTGATGGGGATACCAACTCTCCTCTCCCCCACTTCTTTCTCTCCACTCCCCTTCCCTCCCCCCCTTGCATGCAGGTTCTTCTCTTGGACGAGATAACAGTGGATTTGGACGTGTTGGGTCGAGCTGATGCTGTTACCAACTCTCCTCTCCCCCTCTCTCCCTCTCACCTTCCCTCCCCCCCTCATGCATGCAGGTCCTTCTCTTGGACGAGATCACAGTGGATTTGGATGTGTTGGGCTGAGCGGACCTGATGTCGTTCCTGAGGGAGGAGTGCGAACAGAGGGGCGAGCGTGGATTGAGTGTGCCAAATCCTTTTCCCCCACTGCCCACACCATGCAGGTTCTTATCTTGGACGAGATTACAGTGGATTTGGACGTGCTGGGTCGAGCTGATCCAGTCGTCTGCTCCTCTCACCCCTCCCCACCGCACCCAACCATGTATGCAGGTCCTTCTGTTGGACGAGATAACAGTGGATTTGGATGTGTTGGGTCGAGCTGACCTGATGTCGTTCCTGAGGGAGGAGTGCGAACAGAGGGGAGCAACGATTGTGTATGCGACGCACATTTTCGACGGGCTACAGGCTTGGCCAACCCACATCGTACGTACAGCGCTCTTGTTGCTGATGGCTCGTGCATGTTGTATGCACACACTCACTCAGTCAGTCAGTCAGTAGTATTGTTTCTAAAGGAGGGATGTGAGCAGAGGAGGGTGACAATCATGTATGCTACACACATATTTTCGACGGACTGCAGGCTTGATCCACCCACATTTGCATGTGCTACTCAATGTTACCAATTTTGTAACCTGTACCCCCCTCTGCACCCCAACGCACCCCTCTGTATCCTTCTGCAACCGTCTCTGCCCCCTCTCAGGCATAAGTGGCCAAGTGCAAGCTGCAGTTCACCAAAAATCAGAGCTGGCCTCCGCAGTAGAATGTTTAGGTTAATATCCCTCTGCACCCCTCTACATCCCTCTCTCGTCTCATTCAGGCATATGTGGCAAAGGGAAGGCTGCAGTTTACCAAGCAGCTGTCAGAGTTGCCAGAGCTGGCCTCCACCACTCTTATGGATGATCACTCACCTTTGTACTCCTCTACACCCCTCTTTACCCCTCTGCAACCCCCCGCCACCTCTATATACCCCTTCTCCTCAGGCATATGGCAAAGGGAAGGCTGCAATTCACCCAACAGCTGACAGAATTTTCAGAGGTGGCCTCCACCACCCTTATGGTGATAACTAACCCCCTGCGTTCCTTTTCACCCCTCTGCACCCCTTTCCCCACCCTTCAGGCATACGTGGCAAAGGGCAGGCTGCAGTTCACCAAACAGCTGTCGGAGTTCCCAGAGCTGGCCTCAACCACACTTATGGTGAGCCTGTCTGAACATAAACAGATCTGGAAGAAAGGGGTTAACGCCAGGAACACTGGAGAGTTGGGAGGGAGTCTCAAGAATGTCAAGCGAGCCATAGAAGTTGTTTTGAGACGTCTCAAAACTACAATTTAAACACGGGGGGGTCGCATGAGACACATAGCACGAATGATAATGCATGCAGTTACCTGTTTGTCCTGTGTCAGACAATGATAGAGGGGTGACTTTGACAGGAGCAGCAGGAGAGGGAAAAGAGAAAAGCAAGTAGAGTGTTGGAGGGAGAAATGATCAGCAGAGGTGGAGCTTAAATCAGTGTGATATTTTCTTGCCTTTCACCTTCTCACCCGCCTCTCCCCAATTTCTCTTACTCCTCTTTTTGCAGAGAAATTGAGGCGCGGCTTCGACAGGAGCAGCAGGAGGGGAGGGAGAGGAGGAAAGCAAGGAAAACCTTGGGGCCACCGGAGAGGGAGGAGCTGGGAGGAGGGGAGGGGTCATGGGTCGTGGGCGACCCGACCAAGAAGGCAGCTTCAAGGGTGATGAGGAGAGTGAAGAGAGCCATTCTCACCTGTTCCCTTCTCTCTGCCTTCCCCTGCTCTCCACTACCCCCTTTGTTGCAGAGAATGATCGAGGCGTGGCTTCGACAGGAGCAGCAGGAGGAGAGGGAGAGGAGGAAAGCAAGGAAAGCCTTGGGATTACCCGAAAGGGAGGAGCTGGGAGGAGGGGAGGGGACACGGGTGGTGGGCGACCCGGCCAAGAAGGTAGCTTCAAGAGTGATGAATAACGGATGGGGGCAAGGCAGGATGTTTCCCACAGTGAAGCTTTCAGATGAAGATGCTGCTAAGCTGTTTGACCTGACCTCCAATAGGGTTCTAAGGATGTAACGCTTGAGTAACATGTGAACAGCAGCCACGATATTAATAACATGATTCTGCAATGGCTTGGGTTTTGGGTTATGAATAACGATTAGGGGGCAATGCAGGATGTTTCCGATGGTGAAGCCTTCAGATGAAGATGCTGCCAAGCTGTTTGACCTGACCTCCAATAGAGTGCTGCAGATGTAATGTAACGCTGGTGCTGACCTACGGTATGTAATTTTGGATTAATAAAAACCGTTGTGGAATGAATTTTTCTTCTACGGTACTGTACATTGCAAAAGAGGAGCAGGGGATGGGGGAAGGGGGTACTGGTGATGCATGTTCATACTAAATGGCTGCTGGGCTGATGATTAACGGCTAGGGAGGGGATGAGGTGAGGAGAGGTCTGTTTCAGCGAAATCATCATACGATCCTTCAAGGCTATCAAGGTGGCATATTTCCAACAACACACCACCACCCATTGCTGATTTCCTACTATTCAACTCGTTATTCCAGCTAATCTTACCTAGTACCGCAAACCTCCCCTACTCCGCTGTCATCCCAATCCAGCGTTTGCCGTGGATGCTTAAACCCCAGTGCCGTAACAACTGTTACTTTAGAAACATCTTAAAATGCCCTACTCATCTCGCTCCAGCACTTGCTACGGATGCGTCAGCCCCCGTAGCAGCAGTTGGTGGTTTCTTGGGTGCAGTGTGGGAGACATAGGGCTTGAGCTGTTGGGAGGACAGTGGGTGGAAGAGGTGAGGAGAGGGAATAGAGGGGTGAGGACATTGTTGTTGGTGGTTTCTTAGGCGCAGTGTGGGAGACATAGGGCTTGAGCTGTTGGGAGGACAGCGGGTGGAAGAGGTGAGGAGAGGGAATGGAGGGGTGAGGACATTGTTGTTGGTGGTTTCTTAGGCGTAGTGTGGGAGACATAGGGCTTGAGCTGTTGGGAGGACAGCGGGTGGAAGAGGTGAGGAGAGGGAATGGAGGGGTGAGGACATTGTTGTTGGTGGTTTCTTAGGCGCAGTGTGGGAGACATAGGGCTTGAGCTGTTGGGAGGACAGCGGGTGGAAGAGGTGAGGAGAGGGAATGGAGGGGTGAGGACATTGTTGTTGGTGGTTTCTTAGGCGCAGTGTGGGAGACATAGGGCTTGAGCTGTTGGGAGGAAAAGAGGTGGAACAGAGGGGAAGGGAAGAAAGGTGGTGAAATTCCCAGCACATGCTACGGATGCTGCAGCCCCCGTAGCAGATGTAGGTGGTTTCTCGGGTGCAGTGTGGGAGACATAAGGCTTGAGCTGATGGGAGGGAAAGAGGTGGAACAAGGGAAAGCATGAAGGGGGGAGAGGGGAGTGTGCAGGCAAGTAAAGTTTCACAGGCAGAGGAGAGCGGAGAGTGTGGAGAGTGCTTTTGAGGCGCCTCAAAACTCAAAAACCTTAGAGGTGCCTCAAAAGTTTCACAGGCAGAGGAAGGCGGAGAGTGTGGAGAGTGCGGAGAGTGGAGGGCGGAGAGGGCAGAGAGTACGGAGAGGGAGGAGAGTGCGACCTCAAAGAGCCTGGCAATGTGTGAGGTGGGCGCTAAGGGTGGAATGATGACATTTAAAAGAATTCACCAAGCAGGGGCCATGGGACGGAGTCATGCAGAGAGGTGATTGGGCGTTACATGGCAGTTAGAGAGGTTTGGCATCAGCAGTTACATAGAAGGCAACAGGAAAGCACCTGGAAGTTACTGAGGTCTGGAACCAGGTAGGTTGGCATCTTCTCTTCCATGAGAATGTAACCACCTGCAGGGAGAGATGAGAGATAAGGCACATGTGCGGATGAATGGTTGAGATGACTGGCTGGAGGTAGAGAGATGAGAGTAGGTAGGTGGGCATCTTCTCTTCCATGAGAATGTAACCACCTGCAGGGAGAGATGAGAGAGAACGTATCAGATGAACGGTTGAGATTAATGGAGGGGATAAAGAGTCGGGTAAGCAGGTATGTAGGCATCCTCTCTTCCATGAGAATGTAACCACCTGCTGGAAAATGAGACGTCCCAAAACTCAACTTTTATCACGTGCCCATTCGCGACTCCCTCTAACCTTGCGTTATTTTTCCCTGTCAAAGGAGCTTCTCAGCATTTTACCCTCCCCATAACCCCCCCTCCTGCCCACTTCCTTCACAGTCCCCCTCTTCCAATTCCCTCCCAAACCCCTCCCTCCGTTTTCCCCATCACAACCCTCCCTCCCCCCTGCCCCCCAGCCCCCTGCCCAACCCCTCTCCCCTGCCCCCCTCTTTCCCAACCTCCAATCCCCCCCGTTTTCCCTCCTTCGCCCTCTTCACCCTTCAGCCACCCGCACCCACGCCTCCTCTCGCATCAACCCACCTTCCCCCGCCCCACCCCCCCCCCACCCCCCCACTCCCATTCACCTTTCTTTGTGTGTCGTCCCATAGTGCGACTCCCCGTCCCCTTATAATAGTTCTTCGGGCCGCGCTTCGCTGTTAGATACTTGAATCCCTTAGCCGGCACGGATCGCCCTCGCAGCAGCCCCGTCAGCACGTTCAACATCGCGTTGTCGACAACACGTGTCTGATCGCTGACACGTTGGCACGCGACGCGTCAGTAAAACGAACACTGAAAACTTTTAGTGTTCTCTTGAGTGACGTTTCAGAATCTCAGCGTTCGATAAGCGCCGATCTGGTAAAGAACATCACCAACTGCCAGGCAGGCCCGACCTTGAATCTTCAAGCGGCTAAACGGCATATAATACGGCGCCAGCACGGAAACTACGGCGGTCGATGGGGAGGATCACGCAGGCACACGCACGCACGCTCTCGGCCGCACGGAAAGTGGGGAGATCCAGGCTGCGACAAGCGGCGCGTGGGTTACGCCAGCTTTTGCGGTGGTCTCTGGATGAAAAAGACAGAGATGACCTTGGTGCCTGTGGAGCTAGGGTGTGTATGCGAACTATAAGCACTTTGCGGTTCGTCACCAGTGGTTGGCAATCGCAAACCTTATTGCTTGAGTGGAGCTAGGTTATATCGAATCATTTCGTCACACTCGAACAGGCGAATCTACATTCTACTACCAGTTTCTAGTAACACCTCGAAGCCGTGAACACAACTGCGGCGAACTTGCGAACTCTGAACGGAATGCTGCGAACAGCACCTTTGTGTGGAGACTCAGCTGGTAACAAATCTGCCACCTCTTTTTTTGCCGAAATCTACAAGTTTCCTCGAATTCGTGTACCTGCCACGGACAGATGTACGCGAACCAGCGGAGTATCACATGCATCACATTGCACCACTGTTTATATGAATCAATCGTACAGAACCGTTGTTCGCCCTACTCACACTCGGACCTTTAGTGCCATTTTGGTCTAGCTGTTCCACCACCTAAAATGCTTGTGGGATTGACGTGACATCAGTTTCCTGTGTGTTTGCCTAGTTTATTTTAGGCTTGGCAAGTAAGGCCGTTCCTCGTGTTGTTCATCGCGTGACGCGCTTCGCTTCATTAAAAAGGAGGCAGCAGAAAAGCAGATACAAACAAGGCTTACACGCGCCTAAGGGATTGGGCTTATGACCACGAGAAGCGCGTTCAATAGTTGAAGCGCGAATTTGTAGAGCAAGAAATAACAGAGAGACGAGCAGCGTCGAAGCAGAATTTCTGAGGCACTTTAGGAATAGAATAGAGTGTCACGCCGTCGGATAAGTTAGGAGCATTCACGATGTTCCCAGGCGGACCAGCCTCATCGTCCTTTCAAGCCTCCCCATTTCGCGTGTGTACGCCGTCTTCAGGGCTAGCGTCGCAGTCAATCAGGGTGGTCAATTGCTATGGTCCTCTTCCCGCGGTTCTGCTACTACAGCACCGCGCGTTGGCCAATCAACGAGCTGCGTCCCAGCGAAGCAGAATTCGGATGCACAGGAGGGCGAATAAGTCGAGAATGTCTATTAAGGGCACTGGAGGAGAGGTCGAAGGGGGATCTGTTTTAGGAGACGAGATCGTGGAAGATTGCGGGAGGAGCAGCAGTAGCAGCAGCAGCAGAAGCAGCAACACAAGACCTGCTGCTAGTACGGATCCCGTCAGCAGAGCAGTCACCGGCGGTGATGGCTCTAGCAGCTCTCAATCCGTTCCTCTCCCTTCAGCCGCATCCTCTCCCTCCTCCCCTCACCCGTTCGCACAATCACTATCCGCCTCCCTCACTCTTCTCCTCCGCTCCCTCCCACTCGCCCTCCCCCACCTCCTCTCCACAACCCTACCCGGCCTGCAATCCTCTCTTCACCTACTCCCCCCTTTCGGACCCTCCTCATCACACAAATCTCGTTCTCCTTTCACCACCAACGCCTTTAGCGGGGGATCATACGGTGGTGGTAACAACAGCTTCCCAAATAACATTTTTTCTGGTCCCCCTTCCACGGGTCCTATCTGGCCTTGGGCTCCTGGTGGTTCCAGGGCCCATCGCAAGGTCACCGACCTTCTCCTTGCCATCAACGCAGCCGCTTTTCTCCTCCAAATCCTCTCCAACAACCGCCTTCTCTTGCTCGGCGCTAAAGTCAACTCGCTCATCCGCCAGGGCCAGTACTACCGGCTATTCTCATCCGCGTTGCTTCATGCTGATCTTCAGCATCTTGTTGTGAATTCTCTTTCACTGAATACAATCGGCCCTGATGCTGAGTCGCTGCTTGGGGGCCGGCGCATGGCTGGCATCTACGTGGCATCAGCGCTCGCCAGCTCAGCGCTGAGCCTCGTGCTCAACCCTTCACCCTCTGTAGGTGCATCTGGAGCGATTTTTGGGCTGGTCGGGGCATTGGGGGTGTTCTTTCTGAGGCACAAGAAGCAGCTGAGCTTGAGGGGATCAGCATATTTGCGTGGCTTAGGCACTACAGTCATGTTCAACATGGTTCTGGGTGTCTTTTGGATGAACATCGATAACTCAGGACACCTGGGGGGTCTGCTTGGTGGTGCAGCAGCGGCTTGGTTGGTTGGGCCAAGGATAATCTCAGCTGGGTTTCCGCCTAAGCTGTATGATTACCCACCCATTGCGGA